TACCAGTCTACCTGCGGGGAGACCTGCTATGACATTTGGCGATGCCCCGGCCGAGAAAGAAACGCTTCAGAGCACCAGTGCGAGCCGACTATTCCCCACATGCACATTTAGCGCTACAGTGCCTTATCAGAAGCTTCTTCCGCATCGACAAAGTAGTTTCTGTTGGGTTGGCTAAGTGTATTCACGAGCTACCTCTGGTGGCTTATGCTGTCAGTTGCACATTAGTACATTATGACAACGGCGTGAATCCAGGTTCCCATTATTGTGAAGCAGAAGGCAGTGCTCTGAATCTTCACGATAACTGGGTCAGCACACTCGAGAATCAGTCAGTGCCCAAAAGCCACTAAACCTCAAGCGGGCTTCGACCAAGATATGGCGATGCTTTAAGAACTGGCGGACATATCGGCACAGGGTGATAATGCCAGAGAGGCCCCAGAAGCCGAATCACGAACCACCGCAGGAGGATGGGCGGCTTCCCACGGTCCATGAGGAATCAGAAGCGGACTTCGAGGCGCATATTATGGAGGTGGGGTGCACAGGATTATGCGAAGAAAGGGAACTATTGGTGACAACTCCATTGAATTGACCCGTACACTGTACCCACGCATGTGATCACCGAGAACAGTGCGCTGGTCACGGTCGCTGATGAACCGCGGGGGCGCCTGTCTAAGTGGGGTTACCCGCGCGACTCCGACATTGATGAGACGTATCATGTCCCGCTATGCTTCGCGGTCGACGACCGCAGTTACGGATTGGGCTCGGACGAAAATGGTCAATATGTCGAACTTTGCTTCGCTGCAGAAATGTCGAAGGTGGTCGTATTCGAAAAGCAGCGCGGGATATTGGATGTCGACCGTGTAGCCACCACGCGAGTATATGTCACCGCCGCCGCAAAACGAGCTGCGGTTGCCAGGGAAGACGACCTTCTCGCGAAGGTCGACATTCAGGCGAATCCGGAGAAAGTATCAAAAGCCCTATTGGCTGAACTCAAGGCATGGTTTGACAACGAGTGTTTCCAGATGTAAGATATATCTGAAGCGTCGAACATCGCGACTTCGAGCTTCGCATATAAGTGCAAGTTCGCGAAGAGGGAGAAGGGTGAGATGGAGCGCGCCATCAGACTGCCGGGTACTTCCGGGGCCCATGGACCTCGAGGCTCTCGACGCGGAAACCCTTCCAGGAACAGCGCGGCAGCCAAGCCAGAGATTTTTCGCAGGCGCGGCAGCGCGCAAGAAGCAATGGATCATTGCCCCCCTTGACAGCACCATGGCTTTCCTGAAGGGGCTAACCTACCAGGAACTTGCTGAGGCAACTTGTGAGAAGGAACGCGTGGTGCGCTTTACCATGCCACCTGGATCGGCAACGGCGTTTCGATCCCATCCAGGATTCGAGCACTACGACGAGTCGAAGCACTGCCTCCAGCGCCTCAAGCCAGGCGCACGCACCCGGAGCTTTCTTATTGAAGCCCAGAAGGGCCGCGAGAGGTTTTGGTTTCCGACCCGCGTCTTACGACGAGGAGTTCGAGACGAGCAGTAACCTGCTCACGACCAAACAAGTCGATGATAGTTGTATGGCCCGCACTGAGGACACCATTGACAGGCGTGCCAAGTGCGGTGGGGTGGGGTGGTGGTGGTGGGGGTGGGGGGGGGGGGGGGGGGGCAATTTTGGCACGTGCAAACTCAACAATCATACATGTCCCAAGTGTGCTGCGAGGTACGCAAAGGACGGGGGCGGTAATGTTACACTGGGCCAACAGCTCCGTCCTACACAACATCCTGAACTCACGCACAACATCCTGAACTCACAGGCGCAGACGCTGACGCCAAAGCATCCCAGATGGTTGCTGACATACTCGTCAGCCTCAGAGGCGCGTTGGCTTACGCATAAGTCGCACAAGTGTGGTTGATGGTGTATGTGGTCTCTCTACAACGTGTCCAATAAAGACCAGTATGCGATTGCGACGACTGAACGCGATTTCCAGGAAATTGCAGGCCTGCGCTAAGAAGATCATATTTCAGTCGATGACTCCAACGGTCGAAGTTGACCTGCACAGCGACTCCGACTATCGACGCCTGCGTAGAGATGCCGATGCAGATGTCAAGCGGCTACGGCGTTCGCGGTGCAAATCTGCTACCCAAGTCGTCCACTTGATCGATGCGCACTGCAATTCTCACCGCTTGCAGGTCCGCTCAAGCTACTCAGCAGAAACACCTGCAGCAGCCAACAACTTGGAGGACTGCTATCCCACGATCGTGCCTCTGCAAGAGCTCCATCCAGGTCCACAGACCCACTCAGTTGCAAGACATACGGGAGTTGGGTGGCCTGAGCATTAAGGTTTGACCATAGATGCAGAACATGTTTTCAACTCTTGTCAAGCTAAGACCTGAAGAAGCCGACTTGGTGTACTCTTTTGGGACACATCAGTTTGATACGACAGATGATGGAGCGAGGAATCGTGCATAGCATTCAGTGGTGCGACACTCGCGACATGACCGCGGACGGTCACACAAAGGGGAGCATTGACAGAGATACGCTCCTACAGGTCATGGGAGGCACGCGATCCTTCAAGCATGGCTTAAAACGTCATGCTCCTTATCGGGCTGGCCAGACAACTTCGTCTGAGGCCGCCTGAGGAGCAATCGCATGCACAGCAATGAATTCGCAAGGCAACTTGCTTGCGGGCCCGCCTTGTTACGGGCCCGCCTTCTGCTGCCGTTTATGTATATAGTGTTTGCTGTTTTGGGCGCGGCGGACTCACGCTTGCATTCCTTCCCCCCCGACTCTAAAGTGAGTTGGGACAAGGGCGAGAGATAGCGAACGTTTGTCCGCGGCCGTTTTTGTTCAAGCGGCCGGCCGCCGACATATGATTAGGCCGCATTGCGAGGTATGTTGCTTGCGCTCGAGACCGGAAACATCCTTCGCTTGAGATGGCCCGTCGCTCCCGCGACGATCTCCTCCGACTGGGACTATCGCTGCTACGTTATAACAAGGAGCTGGAGCTGCGCTTCGCCTAAGGCGAAGTTTCTGGACGGGCCTACCAGCCCCCTTCGAACTGAGGAAGGGTGATGGAGGAGGGTGTTTGTCTTTCTTTTACTCCTTCTCCATTCTTCCTTCCTCGCCCTTCTTCCATCATCCCTCATTGCTCAGTATTCCTCGTCGCTTCCACCGGGGAAAGAGAGAGAGCGTGACGAGGATGAGGAGCAGCAGGAACAACCTGAGCAGCATCAGGAGGATATCGTGGATAACGAGGAGGAGGAGGAGGAGGAGGAGGAGGAGGAGGAGGAGGAGGAGGAGGAGGAGGAGCAGCGGCAGCAGTAGCTGCAGCAGGGGCAGGCGGAAAGGGATTTGAAGGGAATGGGGATGAGAATGGTCAGTTCGCGAAGCGAAAAAAGAGAGGGATGAGAAGGGAAGGGGGGGGAGGAGGAGGAGGAGGAGGAGGAGGAGGAGGAGGAGGAGGAGGAGGAGGAGGAGGAGGAGGAGAAGGAGGCGGGGAGGAGGAATATGTGGAGGAGGGGTAGGATTTCAAACTGCAGGAAAATACTGGGAGCGGAGGAATGTTGATGTTGATGTTGCTGAGAAAGATGATAGTCATGGTGATGGCGATGGCGATGGCGACGATGGTGATGCTGCTGCTGATGATGATACTGCTGATGATGAGGATGAAGAGGAGGATGAGGATGATGATACTGCCGCTGCTGCTGATGCTGATGATGATACTGATGGTGGTGGTAGTTGAACCGCGGATGATGCGGATGGTATGGATGAATAGGATGATGATGATGATGATGATGGTGGTGATGGTGATGATGCTGATGACGATGATGATGATGATGGTGCTGATGACGATGTCAGTGATGGTGATGATGTTGTCGATGTCGATGCTGGTGCTGATGAGCATTGTGTTGATGCTTATGCTGCTAATAATGATGATGATGATGATGATGATGATGATGATGATGATGATGATGATGATGCTGATGATGATGATGATGATGATGATGATGATGATGATGATGATGCTGATGATGATGATGATGATGATGATGATGCTGATGATGCTGCTGATGATGATGATGATGTCGATGCTGATGATGATCATTCATGTGCATGGCGATAATACTGTTGATGCAGCTGTTGCTGCCGATGATGGTGACGACGACGACGACGACGATGATGATGATGATGATGATGATGATGATGACGATGCTGATGATGATGATGATGATGATGATGATGCTGGTCGTAGTGAAGATGATGCTGTTCCTGTTGGTGATTGTGATGATGATGCTGCTGATGATGTGTATGTCGCTGATGATGATGATGATGATGATGATGATGATGATGATGATGATGATGATGATGATGATGATGATGATGATGCCGATGGGGGGTGGCGATGGTGATACCCACATTGATGATGGCGATGTCGATGATCATGTTTTCCGCGGTGATGGTGATGGTGATGTGATGGTGTTGTTGTTGTTGCCGCCGCTGCTGCTGATTATGATGATGCTGCTGATGATGATGACGACTATGGCGATGATGCTGACGATGCTGATGAAGATTAGTATGATGATAGTGCTGATGATGAGACGAGGAGGAGGCAATCATTTCGGTTCCAGGAGCAGGACAGGCCTCCGTTGGGCGGCGAACGCGGTGGCCCCAGCAGGAAACGGAAGGACGAAGAGGAGGAGGTGGCGTATGTTGAGGATAAGTGAGAGGAGATGGATGGGGAGAGGAAGTGGATGAGGAGGGCGAGTGGAGGGGGGAGAGGGAGATCGATGACACTTTGTAGGAGTGGGTGCAGTAGTGGGGGCAAGAGGGGGAGAACGAGAAAGACGAGGAGGAGGAGGTGGAGGAGGAAGATAAGGAGCACGAGGCGGGGGAGCTGGAGGAACAGGACGAGGGGGAGGAGGCGTATGAGGAGGAGCAGCAGCCCGGGGGACGGAGCGGAGCGAGAGGGAAAGTCTGTCTGCCCGACTGTCTTGCCTGGGCGCGAGGCCCTTGCCATCGCGAAGAGCAAGGCTGACCCGAAGGCGGGCCGCGCCTTCCGTGAAGGACGAGGGAGGAGGGCACAGGCTGGAAGGCTAATGCAAACGCTAACATGTAGTTCGTGGATCAGCGACTGGTCCCATTCCCATGCAACGTGGACGCGCCCAGTCGCCAAATTGGCGCCATTGGCTTCATGCTCTGGGGGGTACGTCCCCCGATCATCCGTGGATCTGGCGCCCACGCGCCAGATCCCCGAAGGGTGGGCGGCGCATCTATTTCTTGGATGTTTGCTCAACGTATTGCACATCGATCGTGTGCGCGACCTCGAGTGTCCGACGGGGTAACAGCAGACGGGGTAACAGGAAACGGCCGGTTCGAGGCATCACATGGCCCCTTTGTTGCAGTGCAGTTTTTGTTTTGCTTTCGCGTTCGATGCAGCACCTTCCATAAGCTGGCTGCGTTGCACATTTTCGGCTGCTGCACTGCAGCTTTTTGTTTTGGGCCCTCTGTTGCCCGGTCTGTGGGGCTAGTTTGCAGTTATTTCGCAATTAGTTGCCAACACATTGCTGTGCATGTTTTTTTTTTGCGTTGCAGCAAAATTCGATGCATGTTTTGTTCTGGTCGTTGCAGTGTTTCCACCTGGATCCCACGGTGCTTCTGTTACCCCGTTTAGGCGTTACCCGGTTTAGTGCTCCCTGAGAATCAGGAGGAGGGTTTGGGTCAACCAGGGATGTCTCTGCGATGCTGCAACGCTCCCTACCGTCTCAAGTCCCCTCCTCACACCTTCCTGAAGCGTTCTCTGTCACTGCATGAAGCGCCCATTGACCTACGAACGCCCTTATGGGCCTGCCATTCAGGCGAATGCAGCGTTCCAGCGCAGGTCGGTAGATCAGTTCGGGGGGCTGCCCAGCAATTTAATCGTTCTTTCCTGAAAGACGAACCACCCTCCATCATCGGAGCTGTCGCGAATCTGGAACTTCTGATCACCAAGGTTGACAGGAAACTCCAAGAGATATCCTCATTTTGATATTCACCCGCCCCCCCATCCCTCCAGCTGCGGTATATCCTAGCCACTCGCATTGCGGACGTCCCGTGCGAGAGCACCATTTTGAACAAGCGCCGCCCTCCATCTTCGTAGCTGCTGCAAAGTCTGAATCGCCCGCCCTTCCCTCCCTCTCTTCCTTGGTCCCCCCTCTTCCCTCCTCCGCATTTGGCGGTGCGCTGGTGGCCGCAGCGCGGCGGATGGCGATGGCAGACAGCAGGGCTGCCGCGTCGGCGGCGGAGCTGCCATGCCGCATGGTGGCAGAAGCCGCGCGAGGCAGGCGGCAACCCGTCAGGCCATCTGGGCTGCGGGCGGCTGCCCATGCGCCGCGGCAGACGGCCAGTCCGCGTCTGGGCGGCTGGCGGCTGCGCCTGCGCCTGCGCCGCGGCAGGTCGCCAGGCAACGTCTGGGCGATTGGCGGCGGCGTTCGTGGCCGCGGCGGGGCTGGAGGGCCAGGTCCCCCAACCGCCTGCACGGAGGCGCCCTCAGAACTCGTCCCCTGAATGCCCTCGCGACGGAGGCCTGGACGATGGATTTGGCGGTGGCGGCTTGCCTGGAACGGCGAGGGTTCGAGGCCCAGCTCCTTGTGACCGAGTAGGTCCACCGCGCGGCGGCCGAATGGACACTGGCCATGATGGAGGACGGCGCGACCTTCGGCGAAGAGGGCGGCCACGTGACGGCGATTGTGGGCGGCGAGGTGTCGGAACGGGTTGCGCTCGAAACGCGCATCCACGCGGAAACCCCGCAACGCAGGAACAGCATGCATAACGCAGCGGGCAGGAGTGGGGAACATGTTCCCGCACCTTTGGGGACCGCGGCGAGGGAGCTGCGTTAGCGGCGGCTGCGCGTCGCGGCGCACGTGTTCCACGCAGCGGCGCGCGTCACAGGGCTACGCCGCGCCCCACCGCATCCAGCGGGGTGCGATACGAGCGCCCGACGTGCGGAGACGGCCGATCGAACGGGAACGGGCACATATTGGACGGTGGTGGGAGGGGCGGCAATGGCGCGCAACGGTTTATGCCAGTGGCGTGGATGGCTCGTGGCCGTAGCCGAGCAGGCGCGACGAACTCCGCCTCCCATCGTGCCGCTTCTGGCCTGAGTGTGCGTTGTTCAAAAGATCGCAGGGGGCGTTTGGCGGACCAGTGGGATACAGCGGTTGCTGGGGGCAGCCCGCCAGCGCATCGCATGCGGAGGTGGCGGAGCATCGGCGCGCGTCCGCGGCACCCTGCGCTGATCGCCGAGTTTGCGAGGCTCGACAGGCGCAGAGGCGATGAAACCCGAAGCTTGGGGCGGGTTCCCAAATAGCAGAGAGCGACCGGACGGCCACAGGGGCAGCCTGTCAGGCTGCAGCGGGGCGTCCTGGTTCAGAGCGCGGTGCAGTTGTCCTTTTGCCACCTGTGGGGCAGCCGACCGTCAGTTGCCCATGTCCTTTGTGAGGCGGTCGGCCGCAAGGAGGACCAAGCGGGTGGCGGCTGACAGTCAGCTGTCCATGTCCTGTGTCAAGCAGCCACCCGCCCGCTTGCGCCCAGGCCCGAGAGGTTAGTAAGGAAAGCGAGGGAGCTTGCCCGACGCCGTATCTGGGAGCAGGGATCGACCTAAACGCTGTTTTGGCGATTTCGTGGGCCATTTTCGTTTCGACTTCGTTTGGAAGCAAAGGACGGACAACCACACATCGAGGGAATACGAACACACAGCGGAAACGGAACACACCTGTTAGATCGAACCGTTGGGTGGAGTCGCGCCGCCCACCCGGAAACCACACCAGTCAGGCAGCCATTCCGGCCAGGCTGTGTTGATGGCCACAACGGCGTCGAGGCTGCCAGCCCAGCCGGGTGGCGGCGCGAGAGTCCGCTCTGGCTTGCGCGGGCCACACGGCCTGGCGCTGGGGTGTTCCGCGGCTCGGGGGCACGTCACCTCCCCCCCCGCGCAGGTTGCTCGTTGTTTCTACGCTTGATCCTCCTCCCCAACCTCCTCTTGATATTCCTCCTGCCTCTTACCCCCCAAGGCCAATGAGAGGACGCAGCCCGGCACCCTTGTCTACCTACCCCCTGTTTTTCCCCCCTTGCCTCCTACCTTCCCCCCCCCATCCTCCCCTTTCCTCCCTCTTCCCCTCTTTCCCCGTAGCTCTCTTGACCTGTAGCTGGTGGTTCCTTCCTCCTTTGTCCTCCTCTTCCTCCTCCTTCTTCTCCCCCCTTCCTCTCCTCCCTCTTCCATCCTTTTCCTTTTGAATCACACCTTCCTGTCGAACCCCGGGGCCAGTCGGAAGGGTGCGACGGGCGGTCCGCCCGAGGTTGCCTCACCATATATGTTCCTGCAGCGAAACATTGGCGGCTCGATTTAGCGCCGCACACAGTAGTCTTAAAACATGCAGGATCTTCACGGATTGAGGGCGGCTCGTTTTTCAAAATGCGATTATTTCTTTTTCGTCGCGCGCATTCATCGATCAACATTGCAAGAGACTCGTTGATTGAGGGCGGGTGGTTTTCAAAATGTGGTTCTCGACGCAGCGCCGCGCTTGTAAGACCTTCACGGATGGAGGGCGGGCCGCTTTCAAAATGCGGCTCGCGCCGCAGCGCAGGGCAGATGTACAAATTTGCAAATTTGCAACAGTTTCATGAACGGAGGGCGGTTCCTTTTAAACATGTTGCTCTCGCCTTCGCGCCTCGCACGGTCGTTTTAAGAGTTTACAGCCGTTTCAAGGGTTCTAGAATAGTTAGCGTTCGAGAATTGGTGTTTGGGTACGGCGTCGGAGTGTCAGGGCGCAACGGTTACGATGATTCGTGGTGTTGAACTCCCAGGATTGGTGTCCTGGCATGGTTCAAGATCGTCCAGACGCAACAGTATCGGTGATTCGCTGTGTTGATGTCTCAGGAATGGTATGCTGGCGTAGTTCAATATTCACACATTCTTCTTCTCCAACGGAGCATTTCTTTGAGTGACAATGAATTTTTGCTGAGGCCTATGAAGAGGGAGCTTGGAGGGAGAGTTTTTGAAACATCGTTGATACATCTTGGGTTCACACTGGTTTTCCTCCTCCGGCCTTTCCCTCCTGCCCTGTCCGCAGCGTGGCTCTCAGGAAACTCTGTGGAGGATCCTCTTGCCTCCCCCCCTCGCTTTCCTCCCCCTGCGTCCCCCCCTCCCCCGAGGTTGCTTTTCCGCTTTTTGCACGGGCGTTTTGTGTGGTGCGTCGCACGTGTAGCATGCGTGTCAGGCACCCCTGTTGCCGCACCCCTTCGGGGTTTCGATGCTCAGGAGGAAAAGTGTGTACGCGAGCAGTCTACTGCCTGCGTCTTTCGATGAGCACCTTTTCCCTCTTTGTTGGGGCGATGTTGGCTGGACCCCCCCCGAGGCCGCCGAGAGGACGCAGCTTGACACCCTCTCCGGTGACCGCCCCGCATCGCCTCCCCTAGCGCGCGGCGACGGGTGAGGGAGGTTGTCGCCGGAAGGACGGAAGGAAGCAAGGGAGGAAGGAGGTGGAGGGTGGCAGCGGTGCGCCTCCCTTTTTTGCCATCCTCCCCTCCTCTGCTCCACTCCTCCCCCCTCCACTCCTCCCCTGGCTCGATGGGGGAAGCATGACCCACGTTGGAACGTGAGAACGCTCGCTTTCTGACGCAGCTGGCAGGGGGTGGTTGGCTTAGCGCTGCCCCCTAACAAAACAATATGGGGGGACTCGGGGTTCCAGACCACCACCCGCGGAAAATGATCGGGGGTCTGGAACGTGATTGAAGGTGTACTGGAACCCCCTCGCCCCCCTCCCAGATACGGGGGGAGTCGGGGTAACAACCCCCCTCCAGAGCAACGCGGCAACACGACAACGACGACGACCGACGACTGACGACTGACGACCGACGACCGACGACGACGACCGACGACCGGCGAACGACGAACGACGACGACGACGACGACGACAACGGCGGACAACGACTACGGACGACGGACGACGACGACGACGACGAAGACGGCGACGACGACGACGATGACGACGACGACGGACGACAGACGACGGACGACGGACAACGGACAACGGACGACGACGACGGACGACGGACGACGGACGCCAGACCACGGAAAACGGACGACGGATGACGACGACGAAGACGACCATGACGATGGACGACGACGGACGATGGCGATGACGACGACAACGACGGACGACGTTGACGCCGACGGATGACGACGATGAACACGACAACGACCACGACGACGACGACGCCAACGACGACGACAACGATGGTCGACGGACGACGACTGACGACGGCGACGACGACGACCGACGACCAAGACGACGACGGCCGGCGACCAAGACGACGATGACCAAGACGACCATGACAACGACGTCGACAACAACGACGACCGACCGACCGACCGACCGATCGACGACGACGACGACGGCCGACGGCAAACGACCGACGACCGACGACCAAGGACCGACGGGGGGGGTTCCATTACCCCACCCTCCATTTCGCAGAAGGGGGGGTACGTACCTCCCGGTTCTTGGAGGTGGTCTGGACCTTCCATTTTTTTGGGGGTCCTCTGGTTTCTGAGCCCCCCCTTCGGATTTGCTTAAGGTTCCTGAGCCCCTCCCCTATTTTTTTATTTCAGGCCAGCGACGGCGGATCACGCTCGCTTGAACGTGACAGAGATATGGCGGAGGAGGAAAGGAGCGGATGATACGCAGCAGGAGGAGCAGGAATTGAGAAACAACAACAGCACAGTTGTTATATAGATGCGTGCGACAAAAATTGCAGCATATCGAAGAGAAGCAGTAACATCAGCATACGGAGGAAGAGGAGGAGGAGGTGGAGGGAGGGGGAGGTGGGGAGAAGGAGGAGGAGGAGGAGGAGGAGGAGGAGGAGGAGGAGCAGGACCTGTGCAAACCAAACACGCGTTAATGATGTAGCAGTTTACCTTCCCTCCAAGTTTCCTGTTAACTTGACAAGCAAACATGCTCGGTGCTAAGGGGAGAGCCACATATTGAAAACAATTGCATCCACCCATGCAACTGCTGCACACCCTGAAGACGAATGTACGCGGCGCAAATGCGAAAACCAAAATTTGAAAACGTTGCCGCCCGCCTTGAAGGTGTTGCGCATTTCAAGATTCAGGTTCATAAGTGGTCACGAAGTCTCCGGCGAAACGCCCAGCCCGCCCTACAGACACGTCAGGGGGAGGGGGGCAACAGGGTAAAATCATGTTTCTCGAAAAAGGATTGTGGAGAAGGAGGATCATGTTCAGGAGGAGGAGGAGGAGGAGGAGGAGGAGGAGGAGGAGGAGGAGGAGGAGGAGGAGGAGGAGGAGGAGGAGGAGGAGGAGGAGGATCATCTCGGGGTCGCCTGCTCCCCAGGGCCGTCGACGGGCGGACCCCTGGCTTGCCAGGGGCGTGGGCTCGTCCCCCCTGGGGAGAGAAAAGGGTACGGGTCCCCCGACGGGGGGGCAGCCCCCGTACCTGCCGCCGATGTCGGGGTGGTGTCTTGCGGCGGCGGCCTTCCCTGGCGGTGGGGCTGCACCGGCGGCGCTTGGCGGTGGGACCGGTGCGCACACGCTGTCCGCAGCTGGAGGAGGAGGCGGAGGGAGGCGGAGGGAGGAGGAGGGAGCGCGGGAGCGGGTGCTTGTCGAAGGATTCGCCACCCTCCTCCCCATCCTCTTCCTCTTCCACCTGCACTCGTGTCTTTCTCCTCGTCCTTGTCTTCTCCCCTCTCATTTCCTTCGCCTCCTCTTCCCCTCTCCTTTGTTAACCTTTCCTTCTCCCTCCTCCTCCCCCTCCTTGTCCTTTTTTGTCCAACATCGTGTGGTGTTGGGTTCTCGTTTTGAAGAGACAGTACCCCGCGTTCCTCTCCTCTTCCTCCCCCCCTCCTTCCTCCCCCTTCCCCCCCTCCTCCGTCCCCCCTGCGTTTCGCCCACCCAATACAGCGCTTCGTGGCCCCATAAAGAGCCCCGCCGCAGGTCCCAGTGCCACCGTCCGCATGCGCCCCGCACACGCAGTACAGCGTTTCGTGGCCCCCTCCTCCCTCCTCCCTGCGTTTCACCCACCCAGTACAGCGCTTCGTGGCCGCATAGGGATAGGGAGCCCCGCCGCAGGTCCCGGCGCTGCCGTCCGCATGCGTCCCGCATGCCCATCACAGCGTTTCGTGGACCCCTCCTCCCTATCCCTAGCGTTTCACCCACCCAATACAGCGTTTCGTGGCCCCATACGGAACCCCACCGCAGGCCCCAGTGCTACCGTCCGCGTGCGCCCCGCACACGCAGTACAGCGTTTCGTGGCCCCTCTCCGCCCTCTTCCCTGCGTTTCACCCACCCAGTACAGCGCTTCGTGGCCCCATAAGGAGCCCCACCTCAGGTCCCAGTGCTACCGTCCGCATGCGTCCCGCACACGCAGTACAGCGTTTCGTGGCCCCCTCCTCCCTCCTCCTTGCGTTTCACCCACCCAGTACAACGCTTCGTGGCACGATAGGGAGCCCCACCGCAGGTCCCAGTGCTACCGTCCGCATGCGTCCCGCACACGCAGTACAGCGCTTCGTGGCCCCATAGGGAACCCAACCGAAGGTCCCAAAGCTACTGTCCGCATGCGTCCCGCACACCCAGTACAATGTTTCGTTGCCACATAATGTGGGCTCCACCGACGGCCCCAATGCTACCGTCCGCGTGCGCCCCGCGCACCCAGTACAGCGCTTCGTGGCCCCATGGTGAGCCCCACCGAAAGTCCCAGTGCTACCGTCCGCATGCGTCCCGCAAACCCAACCGACGGCCAGTGGGACCGTCCGCGTGCGTCCCGCACGTCCAATTTGGCATTTTCATCGACTCGGTACAGCGCTTCGTGGCCCCATGGGGAGCTCCACCGAAACCCCCATTGGGACCGCCCGCATGCGTCCTGAAAACCCAATTTGGCATCTTCGCCCACACAGTACAGCGCTTCATGGCACCATAGGGAACCCCGCGGAAACCCCCCGTGGGACCGTCCGCGTGCGTCCCGGAAACCCAATGTGGCATTTTCACACACCTAGCAAAACGTTTTGCATAGGGAGCTCCACCGAAGTCCAGTTAGACCGCCCGCATGCGTCCCGGAAACCCAATTGGGCATTTTCACCCAGTACAGCGCTTCGTGGCCCCATAGGGAGCTTCACCGAAGCCCCGAGGAGGACTGTCCGCATGCGTCCTGCAAACCCAATTTTGCATCTTCACCCACCCAGTACCGCGTTTCGAGGCCCCATAGGAAACTCCAGCGAAGCCCGAAGTGGGACCGTCAGGATGCGTTGCGGATTTGGAATGTTCACCCTGTGGGACCATCCGCATGCGTCCCGGAAACCAAATTCACCCTCATATTTTTCGTGCCCCCGTAGGGAGCTCCACCGAAGCCCCCAGTTGGACGGCCCGCGTGCGTCCCGGACATTTATTTTTGCATTTTCACTGACCCAGTGCAGCGTTTCGTGCCCCATAGGGAGCTCCACCGAAACCCCGATTGGGACTGTCCGCGTGCGTCTCGAAAACCCATTCTGGCATTTTGACCCAGCCAGCACACCGTTTCGAAACCCCAGAGGGAACTCCAGCGAAACCCGAAGTGGGACCGCTATAGATAGGATGCGTCGCGGAAATCCCATTTGAATTTTCACCCCGTGGGACCATCCGCATGCGTCCCAGAAACCAAATTTGGCACACCCTTCATACGTTTCGTGGCCCCATAGGGAGGTCCACCGAAACCCCCAGTGGGACCGCCCGCGTGCGCCCCGGAAGCCTATTTTGGCATCTTCACCCACCACCCAGTACAGCGTTTCGTGGCCCCATAGAGAGTTCCACCGACGGCCCCAGTGCTGCCGCCCTCATGCGTTCCCCCCCACCCAGTGCAGCGCTTCGTGGCCCCATAGGGAGCTTCACCGAAGAAAATATTCAGCATCGCCGTACCTACAACTGTATATGGTTGGGTCCAACGCCAGGATAATTCTCTACTTCTCTCTCGCTCTGTCTCGTTTTTTCTCTTCCCCCCGCTCGTCCTTCTCACTCTTCCTCGTCTCCCCCCCCCACCCCCCCTCTCCTTCGCCCCTCTTCTCCGCCGCTCCCCCCCTCCCTCCTCGATCTCCTATTCCTTCTCCCCCTCCCTCCCTCTTTCTCCTCTCCCTCCCCCTCCCCCCCCCTCGCCCATGCTCCTCCTCCTCCGCCGCCATGTCCTCCTCCCTCCCTTCCCCTTCCCCCTCGCCCCTCGGCCTTCCCCCCCTTCCTCCTCCTTTTCTTGTTTTTCTTCTCCTCCTCCTCCTCCTCCTCCTCCTCCTCTTCTTCCTCGCGGTGGTCGTGGATGATATCCTCATCCGCCGGACGGGTGGTCTGCAGCGCACCGTGCACGAGGTGTCGGATGCAGCTTACAGTCTGAAAGCGTTATTGGAGGAGTGTGACTTGCAGGTGGCACCCAAAAAGTCCAGAGCCTTGGCCAATGTCCCTGCTGCCAGGGCAGGCCTAGAGCAGCGGCTGCGACGGCCGCTTGGCGTGGTGGCAGCAGCTCAGGAGAGGAGCCTCGGCGTCGACTTCAGCGGGGGTAAGCGCATCGTGAGGACGGTGCGTGCTGGGCGGTTGCAGCAAGCTCGTCAACGACTTCGGCGAGGTCAGGTGATCAAGACGGGCAAGGGCCGCAGGGCTGCAGCCCAGCGGGTGACCAGGACAGGGTTGGAGAGCCCAGCGCGGCCTTCGGAGTTGGGGTCACGGGATGCGCCCAGGGTGAGTTGGACAAGGCGAGGACCATCTCCTTCACCGCCACTTCGTCCAGCACGGCGGGCAGGTCCCGCACGCTGGCGCTGATACTGCACCCGGGGTCGGACCCCATCTTTGGGGCTACGCTGGGTCCTGTCATGTTGCTTCTCCACGCCGTCTGGGACAGCTGGATTCCGCGGCGCGTGGTGGACTCCTGCCTGACCGAGCGGCGAGCCACCAACTGGGCAGGCGTGCAGGGCCCCCATGTCCGCGGTCGTCGTAACGCTGCGCCGCGTGGGCTGGGAGATCATTGACGCCGAGCGCTGGCGGTGCCATGACGGTTCGGAGGTGGAGATATTCGACGCCTCCCCGCGGGTGATCACGAAGCTGCTGTGGCGTGCAATCGAGCGCTGGCAGTGGCAGCAGGTCGCCAACGCGCCAGGCTGCGCCCATCCGGCGCGTGGAGGGGTGCTTGAGCCCCTGGTGCGGCTCACCTCGACGGGACTCGTCGCGAGCGTGGAGGAGCGGCTGGATCTCGGCGCAGGGCGTCCTGGGAATTTTGGCCTGGATCTCGGCGACGGGCGCCGTGGAGATTTTGGCCTGGATCGCTGTGCAGGGCGTCCTGGAGATTTTGGCCTGGATCTCGGCGACGGGCGCCCTGGGGGCGCAGCTGTCGGCGAGGCTGGCAGGCGCAGGAAGATGCGGCTCACGCCGAAGGAGCGCGGCCACACTACTACATTGGCTCGCTGGTTACCATTGGCCAGGTGGGCGCAGGCGAGGAAGGCGGACAAGGGCATGGCAAGTTCGGACAGCTGCCTCCTCTGCTCTGAGCGCGGCACGTTGCTGCACAGGCATTGCGATTGCGCCAGCTGGCAGGGCGTGCTCCAGCTGCCCGCGCACGTGCGGCAGCTGCGCGAGCGCGCCGATTCACCCGAGGTCGAGTTGCTCCTCGAGAGGTGTCTCTGGCCGGCGCAGGTCGGCCTCGACAGGCCCTCCAGGAGTGAGCAGGTGTGTTGGCGAGGAGTGCACGACGGATACGTCGGGCGAGGCATTCCTGGACGGCTCGGATTCTGACGCAAGTTCCGACGGGCATACCTCTGTATGTTGGAGTGTTGTCGTCCTCCTCCCGACGGAGGACGCCTTCCTGATGTCCCTTTCGGGCCAGCTGTGCCAGTCGTACGTCGACATCAACGGGGGCGAGCTCATGGCGTTCATCATGCTGCTGAGGTTTGGTATGCCCCCGTGCGTGGCCGTGGTTGAATCGGTGATGAAGCATGGCAGGGTCGTTACCACCAGCTATTGTTATTCCTGGGCCCACTTGCGGCGGTTGGGTTGGGATCTGATTGACGAGATTGGTGGGGTTGGCGAGCTCGGAGTCCGAGTTCGATGGGTTCGAGCCCACTACACTGCGCGGCAAGTGCAGTCACAGGCCATCGCCTACAGGGACTGGCTGGGCAACCAGTACGCGGACACGGCCGCCAAGTCCGCAGCGGAGCATAGCAGGATCCCAGCCAGCCAGCGTGCCAAGCTGGAGGCCTAGCGGAAGTTGGTCGACGGCGTCGCCATGTGGTGCAGCGCGGTTAACAGCTGAGTTAATGGCCGCGACGCCACCCACAGGCAGGCGCGGCCGCAGAGGGCGGTGGAGCGGCCACGGAAGGCAGGCAATGACGTGGCGCAGCTGACTTGCGGCCTGCGCGGCCCGCCAGGTCGGCAATGGTGTGCTGACTGCAGATGAGCGCGTCGAGTGGGAGAATGCCCAGGCAGCGTGGTCCCCGCGGCGGTCGCCGCCAATCGGCTTCTCCGGCAGCGCCGTGAGGCCCACCACCACCTGGTGCAGATCGTGCCGCTGGACGTCGGCCAGTTGGTGCGGACCCTCCCCGCGGTGGCGTGCCTCCGGTGCGGCTTCACTGGCGCGGCGAGGGCCTGCAGCTTCGCCAAGCCGTGCAGCGCCCCGTCGAGCTCAGGGCAGGCCGTCTTGAGCAGGCTGAACGCCAAGCTTGGCCCAAAGGTGGCCCCCCGCACCCCTGTCGACATCGTGCACCTCTATGGCGATGCCGCTGGCAACGAGATCGCTGGCGAAGCGGCGAGGCCTGCTGGGAGGACTCGCGAGGAGAAGGTGGCCTACCTTCTCGCGGCGGCCCGCCGCGAGCAGGCTGCGGCCGCGGCCGACGTGCGTGAGGGAGGCTGGCCCGACGAGCCTGCTGGCTTCCCCTCGGATTCTGGCGGTGGCGGCCCTTTGAGGCCTGGGGCTCGTGGCCTTCCTGGGGGTGCGGTGCCGCCTGGCCAGGGGTGGGTGCGGCCTCGCGTGGCGCCTGCTGGCCTCAGGCGGCAGGCCCCAAGTGGGGAGCAGTCTGTCTGGCGTCGAGGTGGCTCGTCGCCATGGGTGGCTCGCGGGCGCGAGGGGCGCGGCCGCGGGGCAGGCACTGCACTGTCCGCCTCCAGGTCGCGCGCGTCCTCCTCCTCTTGCTCCTCCCCCTTCTCCTCCACCCTCGCCTCCCTCTCCCCCTCGGGCCCCCCCCCCCCTTTCCCCCGGGGGAGCGACCCTGAAGCCAGAGAGGGGGCGAGGCCAGGTGGCCCGCCCCCCCCCCCCCCGCCCCTCCGCGAGGCGAGTACTCGAGCTTCAACCAGAGGGTGGTCTCGGGGCCCGCCCTCCCTTGCCGCGCACCCCAGGGCCTCTCGCCTGCTCGGGACGAGGACGAGGAGGAGGAGGAGAAGGAGGAACAGGCTTTTCCAGCCGCGCTGTCCAGAGGCTGGCAGAGGGGCGCAGGGATAGCCTCTGCCCCTGCTGGTGCTTGCTTGCCCGCCTCAGGCCTTCCCCCTTTCTCCAGCGAGGGAGGAGGAGGAGGTGGAAGAGGAGGAGAGGGAGGAGGAGGAGGAGGAGGAGGAGGAGGAGGAGGAGGAGGAGGAGGAGGAGGAGGAGGAGAGGAGGAGGAGGAGGAGGAGGAGGAGGAGGGAGAGAGGAGGGGAGGAGGAGGAGGAGGAGGAGGAGGAGGAGGAGGAGGAGGAGGAGAGGAGGAGGAGGAGGAGGCGGAGGCGGAGGAGGAGGAGGAGGAGGAGGAGGAGGAGGCGGAGGAGGAGGAGGAGGAGGAGGAGGAGGAGGAGCAGGATGAATTCGTTGGAGTTCGCGGATGCGCAAAGAGGTGTGCGAGAGAGGGGGCCAGGGGGTGCGCGGGGGGCCGGAGCTGGACCTGACCAGCCTTAGACCCCCCGACCGTGCTGCGCTCCCAGACGCTCGCCTCCACAGGGTCCTGGGTGAACGCCCCGTCGACGCACGGCGCTCGGCGCAGCACGGGTTTGTCGCAGTCTCCTTGACGTGAGAGTTCTTGTCGAAGCACTCCTCTCGCGCAGTGCAGATGCACGCACGGCACCGCTACACAGGACGAGAGGTGAAGCCAGTTGCGCTTGCGCCAAATCTGGCACGGTGCTCCTACCCTCCTTTTAACGTTGCCCGGAATATTTGACGGTCCGACAGCTGGGGTGTCCTTGCCTGTCATTTAGCACGTGCTGCTTCTCATTGGATTGCATAAGTATTGCAGCCGTGACCCTTAGCAGGCGATGCCTTGTCGAGATGGCATTCGCATGTTTGGGCAATGCATGATATGGGCGTTGCCGTTTGCTTGGAAGTTGGGCACAGCGGCGCTACGCCAAACAATCCATAATGTTTTGTTTATACTTTGTCGTTGGGAGTTCGGCACATTGGCGTACAAATTATCTGCGGCATTGTCAGCAAGCGCTGCATGATACCACCACCCGGCAGTGCTTGTAGTGCCCGATGGCTCACGTGGTCACTACATGTTGAATGTGTGTCTGTTAGCAAAGGTGTCGTTGTTGTGGTTGTTGTTCAAAGTTTAGGGTCTTGCGTTCGTTGTCGTTTGCTCTTGCTGTGTGCACAGCGGTGTCACGCCAGGCGAAGAAGAGCATATCTTCTGAAGCGTCGCCGGGAGTATACATATATCGGCGCACCGGGCCCGTGGGCCGAGGGCCGGAACTTCGGCCGCAAATGTAGGCTCCGGGGCCTGGGCCCGCCTCTGGAAGGCCTAAAATCGCCCGGGGAGCCCTCAGACAGCAATCCCGGCGGCCTCAGACGGTCTCGAGACACCCCCAAGACGCCGTCCCGTCCAGGGGTGTCTGGCGACGCAAGATTTTTTTGTTAACTGCCCCAGAGGCCCCCAAGACGCTCCAAAAGGCCTTTAAGATGCCGCCCAAGAGCGCCCCGAGAGGGCAAAATCGTTGATTCCCATTTGCTTTTCAATGTTGTTTGCATTCTCGCTGTTCCGTGTTTCCGGCGCTAAAGCACCGCCAAAGAGAGCCCCAAGACGGCCCACGAGAGCCCCGATACGTCCCCAGATCCGCCAAAGACGGCGCAAGAGGGTCCCAGGAAGGCCCCAAGAGGGGCCCAAGAGAGTTCCGTAGCCATTTTGGCTCAAGCCATTTTGGCTCAAGTGCCTCTGTCTCGAACAGTTGTGGAGCAGTTCTTTTCTCGTCTACTTCAGCTCTTTCCATCGTGCCCCGCTCATGATCTGGCCTCGCATGGGAGTTGCCGCGCTGGTCCTCAGCGCCCTGAACGCTTGCGTCGCCTCCGGCCTGCTGCCGTGGGATGGTGACTTTGTTTTCGACGAGTTGGGGGTGGGCGATCTTGAGGGAGACGATCCGACTGTGGATCCCTCGATCTTGAGGTCTGCGAACTTGCAGCATCCCTACCAGGCAACGTCGCCCGACTTCTACGTCAAGCTGCAAGACGAGATGACAAAACGGCATGCCGCAGTTGCTAAATCTCACGCTGAAGCTCAGCACGGGCGCCCCCCCCCCCAACAGCATCGACATCGCTTTCAGCCTGACAGAGGGTGCCGATCTCCCTGCCTGGGCCCACGACATCCTCAGCGGATCCTGGGGGATCGGCCTGTCATTGACCGTTTATGTGAAGACGGATGGGTTGTGCAGAGATGAAGAGGTCGTGCTCGAGCGTAGACAAGGTTTCGAGAAAGTGGCGATCGCAAATCTCGGAAGGAACGAACACGCGTATGTAAAACACCTGGCGCGGAGATGCAATACCTTTCCAGATGTCCAGATTTTGACCAAGACGAATGGAGTATCTCCCGACATGATAAGGTCCATCGTGGATGCAAATCGAAATGGTTCCTATGGTTTCATATCCCACCCATGGATGTTTCAACGCCGTTACCTAACAGTGCGGTGCGACAGTGCGTGGGAGAACCATGCATTGTTTCCTGAATTCTGTCACGGCAATACGGGCAGCGGCACAATTCGCCCTGTCAAGGAGTTGCCTGGCTGGCTGGAAATTCGCCCTGCTAGAGTTCAACAGGATTATTGCGATTTGAGTTGGCCGCTTTTCAACAGACAAGGGCGGCTCCCATTCTTACATGAAACTCACGGCGCGGGCACATTCTCGATTCGCCGCGATGTGTTGGCACAGTTTCCGCACGATTGGTACCTCACTTGGAGCAATCTCACGTACAGATGTGCCACGCCTGGCTACATGGGAGCGCATCACGACGATGCCATGATGGAGGTTTTCCCTTTAGGGTTCAGCAAGGAAAGGTACATGTCGGACTTTCCCGTGTACCACATCTCGCCGAGCACTGTAGTCTTGTACGACAAGAAGTGACAGGGGGACCCGGGGGCCCGGGACCGCGGGCTCGACGGCGCATGGGGGTACCGGGGCCTCTGGGGCGCCCCCGGGACTGCTCCCGAGGGCGCCGGAGGCCGCCAAACAGATCAAGTGAAGGGGGGAGGAAGGGGGGACCAATTGGATATTGTCTATGGGTCCCTGCCTCTCGTGGACGGCAGGCCCCAGGGAGATCATTGGTGCGTCGTGAATAACAAACATAAGGATTGCCACCCAGCTAGGCCTTGGACGTTGAATAACGTCAGCTGCACTTTGCGGGTGGCCGCTTCGTTGACAGCCTAGACGTCGAATGAATTATGCGCGCAGATCAGTGTCTTACATATCCAGAACCGCTCATGCATCTTGACGCACTTTTGTCAAGAGGAGAGCGCATCTTGACGCACTTTTGTCAAGAGGAGGCCGCCAAGCAGATCTAGTGAAGGGCGGAGGAAAGGGGGACTAATTGGATAATGTCTATGGGTACCTGCCTCTCGTGGACGGCAGGCCCCAGGGAGATCGTCGGTGGGCAGCACGTCGCTTTCCTTGCCGGGGCGGAGCCTCGCGGCGGAGCCTTGGCGAGAGCAACGCTGCTTTGGAGGCCAGTAGCACAGTAGGTGCATGGACGCAGTTCCGCAACACATCCATGACTCCGACCGATCTCCCTTGATGGCGGGCATCGATCGGCTGGGTGGTGGGATGTGACTCGCGGAGCCGCGGTGAGATGAGTGTGAGGAGTTGGAATCGGCAGTACTATGTTCCTGATGACCCGGCTGGGGTTTTGGGAGCCCGCTCACCAAAGTGATTTGGGTCCATCTCGTCATGCAAGAAGACGAAAGTAACAAACATAAGGATTGCCACCCAGCTAGGCCTTGGACGTTTTATAACGTCAGCTGCACTTTGCGGGTGGCCGCTTCGTTGACAGCCTAGACGTCGAGTAGGGTTTGCGCAAGTTATGCGCGCAGATCAGTGTCTTGTATATCCAGAACCGCTCACGCATCTTGACGCACTTTTTTTTGTCACGAGGAGAGCGCTGATCGACTCAAAAAAAAGGGGCCCAAGAGAGTGAACGCGAATTGAAAACTCAAGCTCTCCGCCCCAAACTGCCCCCAAGAGGCCCCAAGAGGCCCCCAGGATGCCCCCAAGAGGCCCCAAAGAGGCCCCCAAGAGGCCGCACGATGCGTTTTAAACTGCTCTGGAGGCCCTCAAGACGCCCCAAGAGGCCTTTAAGATGCCGCCCAAGAGCGCCCCGAGAGGGCAAAATCGTTGATTTTCATGGGTGTTTCAATGTTGTTTGCAGCATTTTCGCTGTTCCGTGTTTCCTGCGCTAAAGCACTGCCCAAGAGGCTCCCAAAACCGTTCCAAGACGGCCCAAGAGGCCCCCAAGAGGGCCCCAAGACGGCCCAAGATAGCCCCGAGACGTTCCCAGATCCGCCCAAGACGGCGCAAGAGGGTCCCAAGAAGGCCCCAAGAGGGGCCCAAGAGAGTGAACGCGAATTGAAGAATCAAGCTCTCCGCCCCAAGATGCCCACAAGAGGCCCCAAGAGGCCCACAGGAAGCCCCCAAGAGGCCCCCAAGAGGCCGCACGATGCGTTTTAAGCTGCCCCGGAGGCCCTCAAGACGCCCCAAGAGGCCTTTAAGATGCCGCCCAAGAGCGCCCCGAGAGGGCAAAATCGTTGATTCCCTACCTAGGCTCTGCCTAGAAGGGTTCTTACTCTCTGGGCTTAACGGGGCCGGGCAGTGGAAAGCGCCCCTGGCGGTTCCCCCAGTATCCGCCCCGCGGTTCCCCCAGTTACGTCCCCTTAGCTTAGCGTTGCTTATCTCATCTTAGCTTAGCCTAGCTTAACTTAGTTTAGCTTAGCTTAGCTTAGCTTAGCCTAGCCTAGCTTAGCTTAGCTCAGCTTAGCCTAGACTAGCCTAGCTTAGCTTAGCTTAGCGCAGCGCAGCTCAGCTTAGCTTAGCGCAGCGCAGCGCAGCATTAGCATATCATAACATAGCATATCATATCATAGTATAGCATAACATAACGTAGCATAGCACGCAGCATAGCATAACATAGCATAGCATATAATAGCGCAGCACAACATAACATTTCGTAACACAGCTTAGCATGACACAGCGCATTATAGTATAACATAGCATAGCATAGTATGGCATATCATAGCATAGCGCATCATAACATATCATGTCATATCATAGTATAGCGCAACATAGCATATCATAGCATAGCATCGCATAGCAGATCGCAGCATAGCATAGCATAGCATAGCATAGCATAGCATAGCATAGCGCAACATCGCATACCATAACATGTCATTGCGCAGCATATCATAACATGTCATAGCCTAGCATAACATAGCGCAGCCTAGGATACCCTAGCATAGCATATCATAGCATAGCACAGCATCGCGCAGCATAGCGCAGCATAGTATATCATATCATAGCATAGCATAGCATAGCATGGCGCAGCACATCATAGCATAGTACATCATAGCATCAACACAAAGGCAAAGCAACAGCCTAGAGCTATTAATACTACCGCTACTGCTACAACTGCGACGATGAGGAGAAGGAGGAGGACGGCGTTCACCGTTACTAAGATTGCTCTCCTCGGGGCTCCAACTCCTAGGTAGGGTCGCTCTGGGATAATTTTCATGGGTGTTTCAATGTTGTTTGCAGCATTCTCGCTGTTCCATGCTTCCTGCGCTAAAGCACCAACCAAGAGGCTCCCAAAACCGTTCCAAGACGGCCCAAGAGGCCCAGAATAGGGCCCCAAGACGGCCCAAGAGAGCCCCGAGACGTCCCCAGATCCGCCCAAGACGGCGCAAGAGGGTCCCAAGAAGGCCCCGAGAGGGGCTCAAGAGAGGGAACGCGAACAGAAAAATCAACCTCTCCGCCCCGAGATGCCCCCAAGATGCCCCAGGAGGCCCCCAGGAAGCTCCCAAGAGGCCCCCATGAGGCCGCACGATGCGTTGTAAACTGCCTCGGAGGCCCTCGAGACGTCCCCAAAGGCATTTAAAATGCCGCCCAAGAGCGCCCCGAGAGGGCAAACTCATTGATTTTCATGGGTGTCTCGATGTTGTTTGCAGCATTTTCGCTGTTCCGTGTTTCCTGCGCTAAAGCACTGCCCAAGAGGCTCCCAAAACCGTTCCAAGACGGCCCAAGAGGCCCCCAAGAGGGCCCAAAGACGGCCCCGGGAAGTCCCCAGATCCGCCCAAGACGGCGCAAGAGGGTCCCAAGAAGGCCCCGAGAGGGGCCCAAGAGCGGGAACGCGAACTAACAAATCAAGTTCTCCGCCCCAAGATGCCCCCAAGAGGCCGCACGATGCGCTTTAAACTGTCCCAAGACGCCCCAAGAGGCCTTTAAGATGTCCCATGGCCATTTTGGCTCAAGTTCTGTCTCGAGGTTCCCTCAGGCTGGCGGCGGTCTGCACACCACTCCCCCCAGGCCTGGCCGCAATGCCCGCCGTGGGGCCCGCCGACTGGTTCGCCCAAGAGGTGGTTCGCCTCGTCCAGCGGAAGGCCCCTGACGCGCAACGCGTGCCCAGCAAGCCGAGGACTACTTGGTGCTCGCGGACAAGGTTCGCCAGTCAACGAAGACAACGCTTCCGGCCTTGCAGACGATTCTAGGGGACCCTGAGCTCCGCGATTGGATCGTCACGAGAGAGCTGTACTTCGACGACGCGATCCACGGGCGCTACCGCAAGGAGTACGTGAGCGTAAACCATCGTTGGGTTACCGAAGGTGCTGCTGACCCCCGTCGCGCACCGCCAGACCCCAAGGGAGTGCAGTTCGCCGCCATAAAGCAGTATTTGACGAAGCGCGACGAGGTCAAGGACCTGTGGCTTGGCTGGCCGTGCAAGTGGCAGGCCAACAAGGAGGGCCAGCGTGACATGAGTGTCGACGAGAAGGCCGAGTTCGACCTCATGCTCAGCGAGGTCAACGTGCTGCATCTCGGTTGCAGGGTCCTCGTCTTGCTTGACATGACTTACTTGTCCAGGTTTTGGACGCTGTACGAAGCGCGACTCCTCCAAATGAAGCCAGCTTCGACAAGGCTCCAGCTAGCGCTCGCCTCTGACGCTTCGCGCTGCGACGCGGTTCCCATCGCGGGTGCGACCTAGGCTTTCAGAACAGCACTCTTGGAGACCGTGGAGAATGAGATGCCTTCGGCGCCCCTGCTGCCAAGTGCCTCCGTAACGACGACATCTCGGCCACAAACACCTCCGACAACGAGAAGCAGCTCCATCGCGTGGGCGGGCCCGACGACCGCGTCGCCCAGGTCCACATTGAAGCTTAGGCCGAGGCAAGCAGCGCAGTTCAGATGGCTTGGGTCCTCACGGCCGGCAATCAACGCAGCCTGCGCCTAGGGCGGCGCGGTCACCGCCTGCGGCGCTGACGGGCGCGGCGAGACGCCCGGCGCAGCCCGGTGGGCGGGCGCTGCGCAGGTCGCGGCCGGCGCGGGGCACAGCCTGGGCCTGCTGAAGGACGGCGCGGTCGCCGCCTGCGGCGCCGACGGGCGCGGCCAGACGTCCGACGTGACCCAGTGGAGGGGCGCCGCGCAGATCGCGGCCGGCGATTGGCGCAGCCCGGGCCGGCTGAAGGGCGGCGCGGTCGCCGCCCGCGGCCGCGACTGGCGCGGCGAGACATCTCGTTATGTGTTTCAGCGCGAGTTCGCTTGGCAGCGTCACTCAACGCAGCACAACTTGATGAATCCTACATGGCCAACGGAGTGGCGACAGACGATCCCGTTGTTGGCCCATGACGATTTCATGAAGACCGGTGAGGTTGTCATCGCCCAGGATCATTGGGAGTTCTTGAAGTCTTCTTCCCAGGCCCAGTGCATCAACACATCAAGCGGTCTTCTTGATTTCTCTCACTGTTCCAGGCCGAGTGGAGTGCGCGACATTGTTGACTGGCCTCAAGTCGCGCGAGATGGCTATCAGATGACCGAAGTCAACACTGTGATTAATGCTTTCGCTGTTGGTGCTCTACGTGCTCTGGCTGTACTCGCGAACGCGACGGGCAAGCTGGACGAGGCGGTCACTTTGCAGCACCGCGCCAGTGCTCTCAGTGATGCGATGGCAGACAAGCTCTTCGACAATTCCACCGGCTTGTTTGTGGACGGCCAGGGCAGCGGCGCGGACCATCATTCAGCATGGCATGCCCAGGTATTCCCGCTTTTCTTCGGTGCAGGCCTGGCAGAGCAAAACGAGCGCTTGCTGGCTTTCCTGAAATCCAAGCGCATGGCGGGGTCCGTCTACGCTGCGTTTGCCTTCCTCCTGGGCCTCTACCGCCGCTTTAGCGACGACCACGGCGCGCTCGCGCTGGACTTGCTGACGACCTGCGACGGCAACTCCTGGTGCGGTATGCTCAGCGCGGGGGCCACCGCCGTGATGGAGGCATGGACCCGGGAGGAGATCGGGGGCAACGTCAGGGGGGGTAAGCTCAGGGGAAGCGCATCGACTCCCAATCGCCCATTGATCGCCGATAGGGGCCCGATAGCCTACCCCGCCCAGGATTTTTTCGGTTCGCTCTTCACTATTGGGGGCATATCGCCGGTTTCCAAGCCAATAGTTAGTAAGGACGCAATATTTCACCAAGGGTACTTTTGCGCCGTTGTGTCCTCGGCCATTATTCGGCCAGTTTCGACGCCCAAGGGCGTCCATTTTAGACGGTCCAAGCAAGGGCCTTGCATCCTCAACTTGCGTCCCTACTATCGATTTTGACTACACCTGTGCCCCTCAGGAGAAGCCCAACCTGTCCTGGTCGCACCCGTGGGCGTCAGCCCCCGCCACCGCCATCGCGCAGGGGCTCATGGGCGTCCGGGCCTTGGCGCCCGGCTACAGTCGGAGGCCTTGCGGGTGGCACCCGCGGTCAGCGCTGGGGGGCTCGCTTCCGCAGGGCGCAGAAGCGCCCTCGACCAGCGTATTGGAAAAGTCAAGACGGAGGTTTTTCGCCGTTTTCGGCCTCTAGCGGCCCTCGCTGGGCCGGCCCCGGGACCGTCAGAACACGACTCAGGATGAAAAACCGGTCCTGGACCCCGTATTGAAAACAATCACAACATCGGATCTTTGGGTACGGAAAGAGTGAGTGCGAAGGCCAACAGCGTTTCCTGTCCATTTTGAACCGGGTTCGCTGTCGGTGTCGTCGCGGGCGTGGTCCATTTGAGGCTCAATGTCGCCTCGACAACAGCGGCCTCTGTGGGTTCTGAACAACATTCGCTGTTGGGCATCGCACTTTTGTTTCGTGCCTCTTTCGGGCGGCCACGTCGATTTGGGGTTTGGCGGTGGCCGGTGGGCAGGGCACGTGAGAGGGGCCCGAAGACACCACCCTCGGGGCGGGCGCCACACGTGGTCCGCCCGCTGCCCGTCGATGTGAGCCAGTGGGGAATGGCATGTTACTCCAGGCCTCCCAGATGGAGTCCGAGTATAGATGCGGCTCGACGTGGAGCCCGATTCTCTCAAGGCCGACGGCGCCGATGCATCACCGATGTCGCCGGTACATCGCCGATGCATCGCTGATGTGGCGCGATCCTCCGGCCCCATCTCCTCCGACCCCATGTGGGAGGCCTCTAGCTACCCATCGGCCGTCACGCCCCCCAAAATGGGGTCGTCTTCACCGACGTTCGCGCGCACGAGGCCCACGTAAGGCCGCGCGTGAGCGCCCTCATCTCCAGTGGCGTGCCGCGCTGGCGGCCCGCGTGAGCTGCGGCATCAGGTCGCCATGCCATCTCGCGTAAGACCCACGTCGTCGTCGTCCTCGGCAACAGCGTCGGCGTCGGTGCGGGTGCCGACCCCGCTGGGCCACTGGTGCGGGCACTTCGAGGTCCGGCCGCAGCCGGGCGCGCTCGCTTGGGCCGAGCTGAAGCTGCCTGTGCTGTCCGGCTTCATCGAGGTGCGGGTGGAGCAGTCCGCCTCGGAGTTCGAGCTGACGCTCGTGGCGCCCGGGAACACCCAGGCTCGGATCAGGAGGAGGAGGAGGAGGAGGAGGAGGAGGGTTGAGGCGAGGGCGGCTCTCCGGCCACAGCCTAGCTCCGCTGAAGCTCGGTCCACTGGAGTCCTGTTTCGGGGCTCAAGGGACGGGGGTCAATGCAAACGGGGGTCAGTCAGAGCGCTGGATCTTGCAGGATCTTGCAGAGCCAGGGTTGCATTGACCATGGTTTCGGAGCAGGATCCTGCACGATCTCGCAGGAACTTGCACAGCATGACTGACGGGGGTCTGGAATGATCCAGGTCAGTTCTATAGATCCCAGATTGTTCGAGGCGGATCCAGCCGTGGCGACGAGAAGCCTCCAGGAGGCCCAAAGGGAACGAGAAACGCTAAGCGGACCACCTACAATCCGATTCGATTCGCCGGCAGGGGCCGCGATTCCGATTCGATGCGATTCGGCTCCCATCGGCATCGGCCGGGTCCAGCCAGAGTCTGGGCCCGGCGATCCGAGTTCGACCCGATTCGGATCGACTCGCTGGCGATCCGATCCGTTTCCGATCCGATCCGATTCTGCGATCCGGTATCCAGCACAGGCCTGCCAGGGTCGGACGGGGCGGGGGCAGGATCAATCCGTTCCAGAGCGTTCCGGAACGCTCTCAATGCGGTTCGAAGACGCTTTGGGAAGGCTGGGGCGCCCGAGACATAATCCAGAGCCGCCAGATTTCAGAGATTCGCGAGGACATTAACAAGCACGAGTATAGATATATGTATGAATGAAGAAACGAGGGTAGGTCATACATGCCTCGTGTGAGCAAAAACCAAGGGCTTTTCATTCCTCGCCCTGGCTTCGTCTTACTTGCAGTGAGGGCCGCTGGTTGTCTCGACGGGCCCTCCTCCGACAGGCCACGGCCTGCCTGCCCCGCCTCGGCGGCGCCAGCGCGGAGCTCGTCGTGGACGGCCGCCCGCGCAGCGGCCACGCGTCGGGCGACTTCCTCTGCGTGGCGGGCGTGGGCAGCGGCAGGCACACCATCATTCGCAGGGCGCGCGGTGCTCAGGGGCGGCCTAGTCATCGACCCCCAGCAGGCCATCCCCTTCCATGACTGCCTCCCCGCCTCGCCCCAGGACGCCTGCATGCGAGCCCGAAAGGCGAGGGTGACGTCACGGGAGGGGATGGCTTGCCAGGGGCCAGCCAGGGCGCGCCCGAGGTGGTGAGGTCTTCGTGTGAGCGCAGTGAGCGCCTCTCGGGCACGGCGTGGGCGGGGCCTCGGCCGAGTTTCGTCGAGTTTCGCGGGGCAGGGGCGACCAACTCTTTGAACTCTCGGTCGGCAGCCGTCCTGGAACGCCCATGTTGGGCGGGGCATGGGGTCGGCGAGGTGGCCCAGCACCGGTTCCGGCCAAGCAGGAAGGGAGAAGAAGTTCGAGGCGCTGGGCTCGGGAGGGTTCGGGCCTTTTGCGGCCTCCCGGGGCCGTTCTCGTGTCCCGGGGCCATCAAAAAACGGATCCAGGGTGAAAAATTGCACCGCACCGGATGAACCTTGAAAGGGATCCATCGGGGAGGGGTTAGGACGCGGATCAAATCGTTCTAGAGCGTTCCCGGAACGCTCTGAGAAGAGCGCAGCGCCCGAGGCATCCTCCAGAGCCGCCGGACCTCAAAGATTCTCGATTTGTCTTCACCCGATGTTATCTTCGCCCTGTCTTCGTCTTACGTCTGGGGCCGCAAATTGCAAAAGCCATGCTTGCAGATGTCAGGGTCCCCACAATCGAGGGCGCAGAGCGTGAGCAACGAACGAAGACGAGGACCCAGACGAGGGCGAAGGACCAAGGATGAAAACGAAGACCCCGACGAGGGCGAAGGGCGAGGATGAGGACGATCGAGGACTCCTCTTGACCGATTCGTCTGGAGGTCCACGCAGTTCAGACCCCCTGGCCGCCTCAATGGCCGGGCTCCTCCCTGCGCGCCGGGCGTCGGCAGTGGCGGGCGCGGCATCGTGGACCGTCCGCAGGGCGGGCAGCGAGCCCTCCATCTCAACATTGAGGGGGGCAGGGAGTTGGAGGGGGAGGAGGAGGATCAGAGGAGGAAAAGGTACCCATACTGCTACCCTTCCCCCGTTTTCCCCGTCTTGGGCCTCCTGGGAGGCCCTCGTCGCCACCGCTGGATTCGCCTCGAAACTCTGGTCAGAACGTACCCCATGAGGTCCAGGAAGTAGCAGTATCGGTACCTCTGAGTTCCCCGAAAAGAGGATGCAGAAGGGAGGACGAAGAGATTGGGACGAGGACCGCGACGCCGACGACGACTACGACGAAGACACAGACGATGACGATAGCGACGACGGTGACGGTGACGGTGACGATGGCGGCGGCAAAGGCGACCACGGCGAGGTCGTCACCTCCATGTATCGGGCGCGACGTGGATGGGGGCTCCCGCCCCGGCACCCTGCCCCGACGGGCCAGCAGGGTCGCCGGGCGCGAGCACATGGGCCCTCGTCAGCCTTTCAATAAAGCAGTACGCAGTTTTATTTCCTATGTATATGTGCAGAGAGATTCCCCCAGTAGTGCTTTGCACTCGGGGTCTCTGATTTCTTTTCTGAGGAACTGGGCCTGCCCGTCGGTGAGGCAGGCATGTGGCCGCCGTCGCCGCCCCGTTGCCGGCCCGTCGCCGCCCGTCTTCTAGGCCTGTCCGTTGGTCTGGCGGCTATGTGGTCGCCGTCGCCGCCCCGTCGTTCTGGGCCTGGCCGTCGGTCCAGTGGCAGTCGCCGCCCCGTCTCCGTCTGGGCCTGCGTTACTTTGCGCTGCTGAGCGTTCATCCACATTTCCTTCCATGGATTTGCATTGTGCTTGTTCCGTTACCTTGCACCGCTTTACATGAATTTGCATTGTTTCGTTTTGCTTCGCCTTACTTGCTTTGCGTTGCTTTGCCTCGCGTTACTCTGCACTGCATTACGTTGCGTTTGGTTGCATTAGTTTGCAGTGCTTGGCATTGCTTCGCACTCCGTCTCACCGCTTTTCATTGCATTGCATTGATTACATTGGTTTGCCGTGCTGTGCATCGTCTTGCGTTGCTTTGCCGCTGGTGACTGAGCTCCAGTCGCGGTCCAGCCACGGTCTGGCCAGATCGTGGCCGCCCGTCGTTGCCGTGCATTGCGATCGCATTGTGTTGCATTGTTTCGCATTGCATCGTGTCGCATTTCTTTGCATTAATCTGCATTGCTTTGCATTGCTTTGCATTGCTTTGCAATCAGTGTGTTTGCTTTGCATCGCTTTGCATTGCGTGGCATTGCGTTACATTGCTGTGCACTGCTCTGCATTGATTGGCTTGCTTTGCATCGTCTTGCCTGTATTCCGCATTGCTGTACATTGCGTTGCATGGCGTTTCATTGGTTTACATTGGCTGGCATATAGGTGAATGACTGTGTGCTGCTTTGCATAACTTCGTAGTGCTTGGCTTGCGTTGCAGTGCGTTGAATTACGCTGCCTTGCTTAGCATTGCTTTGCATGGGCTTGCCGGTGGTTTGCGTGGCCCTGCATTGCTCTGCATTGCTCTACATTGCTTTGCGCTGCTTCGCCCTGCTTTGCGCAACGTAGGCTGCACCACAGAGATGTCACCGCATACGCTGCCAAAAAAAAACGCTGTTTGTGGTCCAAGCCGGCCAACAACGATGCACGTGTTCGGGGGGTGGCGGGCGGCGGCCCTTGGCCCCAGAACATGTGCCTCGAGCCCAAGATGCCCCCAAGGAGGCCCCGAGCGGCCTGAGAAGCGAGGGCGCCCTCGAGGGTGCGAACTTTTTCGCGCTTCGAGCTTCGCGGTTCGGCTTCGATTCCTCCTCATCATCCCCTTCTTTCTTGGGGGGTGGCGCGAGAGCGCGAAGTTAGACGCCCATTCGGAAGGCTTCAGAATCGACCACGTTGGCGCCCACACGGCTTCCAGACGGTCTGAATTCGCCTCAAGACGGCCCAAGATGGCCTCAAGACGGCCCAGAGGGCCAAAGAGGGCCAAGGATGCTTGCGAGAGGCCCACATTCTTGAAGCACGTGCGGAAAATAAATGGTTTTGTCACGTGCGCCACTTTCTTTCCTCATGGCCCTCCGAGGCATCACAACTGCTCCGAGATGTTTTCAGAAAGCCCCGCGAGAATCCCCAAGAGGCCCAAAAGACGCTCCCAGAAGTCCCCAAGAGGCTTCATCACGCCTCCAAGAGCCCCCCAAGGCGCTCCGAAGAGGCCCCGCGAAGCTCGCAGGACGCCGCCAAGAGGCCCCACTAGGCCCCACAGAGGCCTCCAACAGGCCACCACCAGGCCCCCACGCGTCTTCAACATGCTCAGGCCCTCAAGACGGCCCAAGACTGCCCCAGGACGGCCGAAGAGCCCCCAAAGACGGCCCAAGAGGCCCCCAAGGTGATCCAAGAGGGCCCAGAGGGGGACTCGGCCAAACATTCCCCGAAGAAGGCCCAGAGGCTCCCAAGATGTCCCCAGAAGCCCGTGTATCTCCAGATGCCGTTCTGACTTCCCCAAGGCCGTTCCCACAACCAAGAGAGCCCGCAGACGGCGCCGAAGGGCCGTCTTGGAATTATCCTGGGGAGAGTAGCGGGCTGCATCAGGTCAAATGGCCGCACGCAAGGGAGCGGAGCGGGGAGAGGTCAATCAATCATTTCACGCAGTTCTACTTGCACGGAGGAGGCATTATACAAGGAATATTCGCTTTCCGAGCGGGACCCTCGGACATCCCTTATCCTTTAAAGATCCACGGGCGCAGTTCAGGGTCGAGGTCCGACGGGGCAGCGGGGGGGGCGGCGAAAATGAAATAAGAGGAACATCGCGAAATCATTGAGGGATTGCGAGCAGGAGCAATGAGAAGTGGAGGGATCGGAGGACGTGGAGGAGCAGGAAGACGAGGAAGAGGAGGAAGAGGAAATCGAGGAGGGGGGGCGGGCGCCGCGCGCTGCGTTCGGCCGCCGGGGGGCGGCGACGGACGACGGGCGACGTCCTCCCCCTCTTCGTTTTCTTCCTCCCCCTCCTCGTCCGTCGCCATTTTCGCTCGAGCCGTTGTGGCCCGAGTAAACCATTTGTCGATGTGGTTTCGAGTGGCCGGCGCTGAGGGGGGCCGGCGCCCCCGCCCGCAAGCTGGTTGCCCTCGGTTTTCTGGCAAATCTTTATCCTCTCGCATCTCCGCCGATGCCCCACCTGTCTCTCGCCGTCCGTTCTTCGCCGGTGCAGCGGGCGGGCGACGTCGCAGCCGGGTGAGTTCGCCAGGCAGCCCGCGACGTCCGCCGTCTCGAGGTGCTCGGCGTTCTCGCCCACTTACTCCGCGACGAAATACTTATCCCCACCCCCGTCCAGGGGGGGCATCTAGCGGGTCATGCGTAGATTTGTTCGGGGCCCGCGTGCGCCCCTACCAGATACGTTGGCGCCCTCGCTGGGGAAACGAGCATCTCGCCGAACTCATTGGTTGATTGCTTGGGAGTGGAATCGTCGTTCTAATGGGGCGAGAGGAGCAGGCGCGGTTACGAAATGGCGCGAGAGTTGGGCTTGCGGGAGACGCGGGTCGAGTTTTGGCATAAATCTTTGCACGTTGTTTCCCGGTGGTTTTGCAGCGTTCGACATTTCTTGGGCGGGTGACGCGGCGCGACGTGTCTCGACGCATGGCCGCTCACAGGTCCAAGGGCACCAGGGGCGTTTTGGTTTGGGGGCAAGCTTTGCGGCCCCCTTGGGCCCGACAAATTTATGCCCAGACCGTTTTGGGGTCATTCGTTGTGAGGTTCAGTCTGGAAATGTGGTAGGTCAGCGTTTCGTCGGTTTTCCCCATATGGAGGGATGCTGCGCGGGCTGATCCTCTCTTGTCTGAGGTGGCCATTGCTTTCAGAGTATGTGTTAGTTGGGTGCGCGGCATAGGTCAGGGGTCCAGGCCGACGAGTCTCGAGGCGTTTGTTGCCGACCAGTTGATTGTAACAACTTCTTCAAACCATTGCCGATGGGGCGCGGCGGTCTCGCGCTGCCAGGCGTCGGTCGCAATGTCGACAGGGCCGCGCTGCCACGGCGCTCACAAATCACCCGCGCCCGCGGTGGGCGGCGACAAATCCTGGACAAGGGCAGGGGCAATCATTTCCCTGCGCGCGTATCCCGCCGCCATCGGAACGCAGTCTCAGCAACGATCGCCCTTCGCACACCGCTCTTTTAAAGCAGATACATGACATGATGGAGCAGTTGTTCTCGTCGGTTGTTGCTCAGATGAA